GATTGACAGGGAGAGCACCCCTAAATGGCAACAGTGTTTTCTGTGGAGCGGATTATCTGGGATTTTAGTTCACATGTGGGAGTAGGGGTGGGGGAGTTCTTCTATAAAGACCACATTGGCTTAGTTTGAGGACAACAGAGCATTTTAAGGAGAAGAATTAATAGCCCCAGTTCTGCCCTCTGGCCCAAGGCGGTGCTGTGTACTGGGGAGGCTGGAAGCCCTCTCTGTGGAGAAGCAGGACAGGGCTGGGCGGAGGATGGGCCTGGCCCAGGGCACTCTGAGCAGGTGGCTGCCTCCTGCCAGCCCTGTACCCTCAGCCTCTAACTCAGCCATCTTTGCTCGGTCTGGTCCACTTTCCAGTTGAGGAAACTGAGGCTGAGCAATTGAGTAATCTGCTTACACTCACAGCTGACGTGTGGAGGAGCCATGGGCCAGTCCTTTTGGCCCTTGCACCTGGAAGTAGCTTGCCTATTGATTTTCTGACTCACTCTTGTTCTCCTTTCCCCTGGATCCAGAGCATTGTTTGTTTCTGGCTGTGTTGGGAGGCTGCTGGGGCCCTGTGACAAGAAGTGGCTCTGTGACTTGAGCCCTATGCTCTAGAGACTGAACTGAGTCTGAGAGAGCAGCTCCTCCCATCCTCCTGAAGGTCGATGCTAGTGGAACATGGAGGATTCTGGCCCAAGACTGGGGATTAGCAGCACAGGGGAAGCAGGAGGACCCGAGGGAACAGACTGCTGACCAGGAAGCTATGGCCAGGAGCAGCTCCAGACGGCCACAGGTTCCCAGTGTGGTTATGGAGATGCTGTGGGGCTGTGTGGGGGAGGCAAGTGGAGTCAGGTGGAGGAGGGTCTTCCTCACGCACCCCAGAGGGCGTTAGGAGGGAGGGGAACATGTGTCATGGACAAGCCGTGAGTAGCACACAGGAAGAGGTGAGCAGGGGCTCAGACGGTGGCCCCCAAGGAGGGAAGGACGGGATCCAGGGGGGACCAGCCCAGAGAAGTATTTGCAGAAGAACAATTCCTCCACAACCCAGGATGAGTTTGAGGCTCAGAGGGGCCCTGGGAGGATTCTGCACTGGCCTGGATTAAGTATCTTGTGCCTCTAGGGACCTGCTGGGAACCAGCCCCAGGCATCCAGTCCCCTCTTTCTGAGCAGCCCCAGAGGTCAGAAGAGAAGATGGGGAGCAGTGTAAGTAACAAGGCTCCATGCTGGCTACCTGGAGCCCATGACAGCCAGAGGGCACTGGGGCCCATGGATGGGGACTAGTCCATATCCCATTCTGCTAGGATTCTGTGCCCAGGGCCAGTGACACCATCTGCCTGCAGACATCTTCACCACTTGTACTGTTGTCTCAAATCCAGTTCACACATGACCTTCAGGAACACGCCCACTAGATAGAGTCAAGGGTGTTTCATTCCCAGGAGCCAGGAAAGCAGCTCCTTGTGTTGGAGGAAACCGGAGATGCTCGCAGAGAAATAAACATCGAGGCAGTTGTCTCTCAGGGTCACGACAGCGATCAGGGAGATGTGTTTTTTCATTTCCTCAAGTTCCACTGCTCATGTGTTGCACAGCTGTGATTTATTTTCAGAGCACACTTTGGAATTTGACAGGCACTCATGCTGGCCTACTTCATGGCCCAAACTGTTTACCATTTGGTGGATGATAGAGTGAGTGACAGTTCATGCTACAGAAGACTGCATCTGTGAAGAAGACAGACAAGTGTCAAACCTGGGCAGCAAAGCCTTCACCCTCTTGGCCTCCTTTGCACACTCCCCAGGGTGGTGCGTCCACCGGGAGCTGGTGTGACTATTGGCCTGGTGCTGCAGGTCCTCCCAGCCTGATCCTCATGTACAGGGAAGGCTGCACTAAGGAACCCAAGCTGACAGGGGTTGGTCTGGGCTGTTCACAGTGAACAGCATGCATGGAAGCATGGGCCTGGGAGCCAGCTCCACCAAGAGCTTTGAATTCTGTCTATTGCAGAGGAGCTGGTCCACTTTCCTTCCTGCACCTACTCTGCTCATTGTTATTCATAGCACTCATCTTCATTTGAAAATCTGTTCTGCTCTCACCCACTAGAACATAATGGCTCTACCTGCTCAATTCTTTGTGTTCAGCTTAGTGCCTTGCCTGTCTAGGTGCTGGGTAAATATCTGTGCTGGCTGCGGTGAAAGCTGGGTATGGGAGGGGTAGCACAGGGCACAGGGGAGTGGAGGAGGGTGCTAGCAGGGAAGGTAGGAGAGAGAGGGACACTTGAGGAGGGGAGTAGGTTCAGGATGTGGGTTTTCTGGGACTCCTGGGGGAGGGCATGAGAGTTTTCCAGGGAGGTTGTGACACAATCATGGGCCTACGCTGGATGCATGGATTGCACACCTGCTACATGCAAATCACTTTCCTATGTACCATGTTGCCATGATCCTGCAAGTGAGAGCTCATGGCTCCATGGTGAGAAGAAACCCTCAACCTCAATGCTAGAGCCATAGTCTTTTTGGTATTTTGGTAAAGACTTATGGTAGCCATGCAGAGGACAGACCTAAGGCCAGGGAAGATTGTGATGAGGGGGCAGGACTGAGGGGCCATGCTGCAGGGTCAGTGCAGAGGCCATGGTATGCAGGAGGCAGGTTGGCAGGATGTTGAGGGCTGAGGAGATGTGAGCAAGTCTTCGTATGCTCACTGAAAAAGCATCTGTAGAGCACTTCTGGGAGGCCATTCACAGCTTTAGTCCCTTTGTAATATTAACCCACTCAATGCTCTCAACAGCCATCTGAAGGAAGTGTTATTATTACCTTCACCTTCCAGACACAGCTGAAGCACAGAGAAGTTGATAACTTGTGAGGGTCACCCAGTAGGTGAGGGAGGAACATGAGCTCATGTTCTTAACTGGTAGTTTCCAGCCTGAGCAACTGAGTAACAGTGGTACCAATGACTAAGTCAGGGACAGTGGATAAAGGGCAGCTTGGACGGGGGCACATTTGTTTTGGAGCCTGTGAGGTGTCCAGGAGACAGGCAGATGCATAGGTGCTTCCAGGAGAGCCTGGCTATGTTGGAGAGAAACAGTTCACAGTGTTTGGTGGGTGGTGAGGAAGACTCTGTGGGGCCATGGTGCTGGGTGCAAGGTCCACTCCTGGGGCCCTGAGTCGGGAGAGACTGGACATGGCTCAGACTCCAACAGAGACAAGTGGGGAGTTAGGATCCTGGAACAGGGTGAGAGCAGGGAACTCAGGAGATGGTGCAGAGATTCTTGCTGAAGCCGGCTGGGGCAGTAGGACAGGGAAGGTGGGCAGATGTGGCAGGCAGGGTTACCAAACTGCGTTAGGCAGTTTCTCATGACTGACAGACACCTGAGACAGTGGACTCATCTGAAGAGTGGGTTTACTTTGTTTTGCAGCTGGGGAAACTCCAGGCCAAGGTTGGGTGGAGCCCTGCTTTGGGCATCTGTGAGGGCACTGAATGGTGATGGTGAGGATTGAGCGGCTGAATGTGAGTCCAGAAGCAAAAGGAAGGCATTGAGTGGGGATCCCACAGTTCCCGTGGGTGAACCCAGTGACCGTCACACCTCTCATGGGTCCCAGCTCTTAAATCCCCTCCCCGAGGAGTGCCTCCCTGAGCACCAAGCCTTCAACACCTGAGCATGTGGAGGGTGCTTCTGCAAACCCAAGCACTGGGTAAGCAGGGCTCTTTCTCAGCCTGGATTCTAGAAGCTCAGGGAGGGAAGCCAAAGACCGAGCCTGCTTAGAGGACCCAGAGGAGCCTCAGTAAAGTCTGGGCCAAAGGAATTTGTCTTTGCTGGAAATGGGCATCTTGTCATTAACATACAGGACGAGGGGAGCTGGAGAGTCACCAAGGTCCCTAGGAATAGTGGGCAAGAAGAGGGCCAGGACGCAGCCCTATAGATGCTGACAGAGGGGAGGTGGAGGAAGTGAGGTTCTGTGGAGGGACGAGGTAGCCTGAACAGGGTTTGTTCACCATGGGTGCCACAGAGAGCCCCAAGGCCTGGGCTGGAGCAGGTGAGTGAAAGTCAACTGCAGCAGCGGCTGTGAGGAGAAAAGCCCAGAGCAGGCGGACAAGAGGTCAGGGACTTCCCGGTCAGTGAAGGTGTTATCTACTTTTCTCCCTAAGATGGGTGTCAATGCAGGGGGAGGTCAGCTGTTGGGAGGAGAGGTTGGAAGTCACTGAATGGAAAGAGTCAAATGGAACAGAGCCCCATAGCTTGCAGGGAGCATGTTCTCAGGTTCAGCTCTCCTTCCTGGGAGAGGGGAGCAGGGGATGGCCCAGGCAGGAGGTTGCCAGACAGGGACTATGCTCAGCAGGAAGGGAGAGGACAGGTGCAGAGAGAGCACCTGAACTTTCATGTCCACAGTGATACTCCTGCTGATGTTGGGGTGTTTTGAAAGGAGTGGTGTAGATCTAAGGAGAGAGAGGGGTTGTTGCTGAGGTGTAGATGTATTGTCATCGGCATCTAGAGGTGAGCACCAGAACCTTGGAGTGGGTAAAACTGCAAGGCAGACAGAGGTGAAGAAAGCAAAGAAAAGATGGCTGAGGACAGAGGTGCTGGGGACTGAAAGGGCAGTTGGAGAAAGACTAGAAAAGCGCTGTTTAGGAAGCCAGGGGTAAGGAAGATTTTTGAAAAGAAATAAGTGTGTAATTGTGTTAAGTTCAGCAAAGCAGTCAGATAAAGGAAAAACACGTTTCAGATTTAGCAGTGAGGAAGTCATTGGTGACCTTGGCAGATGCTGTCTCCACGGTGTGGGGGAGGAGGCAGCCCAGCTAGAGAGGCTCTGGGCGATGGGGTCTGATAGCAGAGACGGCAGTGTAGACTGCTCTGGAGACAGCAGGCATTTTGAGTTGCATGAGTCTCGTTCTGTGAGTTTCCTGCCAAAGAATGTTGGGAATTCCAAGAAGCAAATAACTTGTGCAGCCCTACTTGTCCTTACAGCCGTTCCACCCCTCCCCTCAATCCTCTGTCTCAGCAAGGATGATGCGTATGTCCTTCTCTCTCTCAGGGCGGATCCTGGATCTGAAGACGGGGACAGTCAAGAAGGAGGGACAGCAGTCATCCATGAGGATGTGCATGGGCTCTCGGCGCTCTTTCATCTGCAGGATGAGGTCTGTCGAGGCTTAAAGGGCTGTGGCAGTGGTGGGGTTCCTGCCTTCTGATCCACCCTTAGCCAGGTTCAGTTCTGCCGTGGTCACACGTGCTGCATGGCTTCTTTGCATTGCCTAAGTCTTCTTGACCTCAGGCCCGTGAATAGATAGACTGCCTTGTCTGTCGTAGAAGGGTCCCTCTTTCCTCTCATCCTTTCCTGTCTGGGTTCCCACCACTTTCTGCCTGTTCTCAGATTCACACCCCCTGCCCACAGTGTTTCTTGACTTCCTTCCCCTCCCTCAAGGCCCTGCTTGAATCCATCCTCTACAAGGTTCCAAATCTCTCAACATGTTTGTGTCGAAACCACCAAATCCATACTTACTCTTATGTTTCCTCTGACAGCTCATACATTTTAAATTGCTCTGTTTCATTATTGATTGATATTTTCAGTGTAAATATCTTGGCCTCATGAATCAGTGATAATGCCCTGAGGATAGAAGCTTTGATTTATGCTTCTTTGAGCCTCCCTGATGTCTTAGGGTGTTCTACACATACAGTTGTTCCTTGTAGCCATGGTGGATCAGGTCCAGGAGCCACCACCAATACCAAAACCCACCGATGCCCAGTCCCCAGTAGTATTTTCTGTAACCTACACACATCCTCCTGTATACTTTAAAGGAGCTCTTAATTACTTATCATACCCAATACAATTGAAGTAATAGCTGTTGTACTTTGTTGTTTAGAGAATGACAGGAAAAAAATCTGCATGCATTCAGTATAGATACAGTATTTCTTCAAATATTTTTGTTCCATGGTTGGTGGAATCTGCAGATGCTGAAGCCCTGGGTGCACAGGGCCCTCAGCTGTGACTGATGACATGGAAGGTTGTTGGGGTTTGATCATAAGAGTTGTTTTCTGAACAACATTTAAAAAATTGCTCTGACTTTGTGTGGAGCAGGGAAGAAGTGAGGAGGCTGTTGTAGTAATGCAGGTGTGTAAAGAGCTCAGACTTTGAATGTATTTCAGAGATAGTCCCAGCCTGCAGCAAGGACACAAGAAAGTGAAGTCAAAGACAAGTCTGAAATGTTTGCCTGCTCAGTTGGAAAAATGGAGTTGCCACTTACTGAGTTGAGAAAGATGACTAGGGAAGCAGGCATGGGGTGGAGAAAAATTTCAGCCTGCTGCGATTGACTTGTGTGTTAGACAATGAAATGGAGAAGATGAGCTGACAGTTGGACATGTAATTCTGGAACCCAAGGGAGGCGCTGGGGCTGAAGACACAGACTTGGAGACTGAGAGGTGGCACTGGAGGGTGTGACCCTGGGATGAGCATGAGGTCACCTGTGAAGCGAGTGTAGACTGGATACCCAAGAACTGAGATGGCAGGGGAGACTGGGGAGTTGCCGGGGGCGAGGAGAGCACCACAGAGGGAAAAGAAGGTCTGGGATGGAGGAGCCATCGACTGCCAAATGGTGCTACTGAGTGTAAGGACCAAGGATCCATCGCTGCATCTCAGAGGAGGAGCAACAGGGGCTGGAGGTGCAGGTGGATCTCATCACCTCCTGCAGAATGGAAGGCTGAGTGGGCTGGTGGACCCCCACACTCTCCCTGAGCACCTGTCCTGACCATGCTGCAAGATTCTTCATGGCTCTTGCCTAGGCCAGCGTCAGCCTGCTCTCCTCCTGTGCCCTGAGCTGCCAGCCCTGGGATTGGGTGATCCCAGGCTCTGCACGGTGGAGACACTCCCTGATGCCATGCCACCCCAGAACCGTGACTTGCCACTTGATTATCTATTTGGTACTAGGAAACAAAACAGGTGCTGTAGAAGGAGCATATATTTCGCACACTTCACAGTAATCTTCTAAAGCAGGACACATTTTAAATAAAACCTGCTCACCCTTTAGCTGCCTCCCTTCTCAGTGATCCTCTTAGCATCCCAGGCCACCTCAGCTCCCCAGTGCCACCTGTGTTGAGTGCAAAAAGAGAGCTTCGCCAACCTGGCCCCTGGGACCTGCAGAAGATTCTGGCTTCCTGTCATGAGAAATAGACCTTCAGGGTCCAAGGAGAGCTGTCCCTTCCTCTGGTCTGCTCCTCTCCAGAGGGCTCAGATAAAGTCCCTTCACTACCTGCCTCAGCTCACTTGGCAGCACTGGGGTGGCATCATTGTCTCCATTTAACCCATGATGGAGTCCTGCAGGCAGCCTAGCTCCCATTCACCTGGCAGAACCAGCTGGGCTCAGGGTCACCTGGGGACAAAATGACTAATATATCAGTCACCACAGGTCTGCCTACTATGCTCTGGGGACCAGAGTGAGTGCCCATTCTAGCTTGAGGGCATTCAGCAGGGGCTGCAGTGATGGAAATTCTTAGGGTTAGGCAGCTTCCTCCTGAATCAGTTGCTTGGCTGCATCCTCATGGACCATCTCTGGTAGCAGCTTGGGTCACAACCCTGCCAGCCAGATCCATGCCTGGGCCACTTGCTCTATGGAATGTGCTCCAAGCTGCTCTTGGAAGTGCCAGGCCCCTCCTGACTGGATTGACTGGGAGGTGAGCAGTGCTGCTGACAGTTGAAAGCATAACCTTCTTCTCCAAATAAAACAACTTCATTTTAGCCAGACACACGGACTGCCTGCCAGAAACAGAGGGCCACACGGGTGCTCCCGGGCAGCAATATCACGGTCTCATCCTGCTGTGGAAATCCTCACCAGCACTGGCAGCTGACCAAGGTCTCAGAGAATAATTAGACTCTGGTCTTTGCTGGTTGGAAATTAAGCCATCCAGGATTTTGCTTGCCACGTGGTTGGAAATGGAAATGCACGGAAGAGTTAAGCAATGCCACGTTGCCATTGGACCCTGACCACGGCGAGGGCCTTGCTCATTAGCCTGGGATACTGAGAGGATAATTGAGAAGGGAGGCAGGGAAATGCCTGCCAGAGTGGGCAGGGTGAGCCTCACATCCCCTGGCTCCCAGAGAGGGGCCCTCAGGAAGACCTGGTTCAGTACCTGTTTGTCCCTTGTCCCTTGCTCCTCTTGGCCATTAGCAGCTTCCTCCTGTTGAGTTATTCCTGGGGCCAGAGCTCTGCAGAAAGGGAGCATTCCTGCAGATGGGATGCTAATGCCTGGGATGGTGCCATTGTGCATCAGCTGGCAACATCTGTTTTGAGTTGGTGTCTTCGCTTAAGCCTGAGGAGACACTGGCTCTGCCATCACCCTCTTCCCTTGTTTCCTGATAGTCACGCAGTTCCAAGGAAATGATTTATAGCCCTGAGCATGGTTAGGCTTTTCCTAGTCAATCTGTAGTCTCCAGCTCTGGGCTGGGCTCTGAAACACCTGCCGTGTGCTTTGGAAGCAGGCACACACCAAACTTCAAAGGTGTGAAAACTTGCATCTGCACTTGAGAAAGAAACTGGCCATGGATAAATGTGTAAGCACCAGTCCAGGCCCATCTACAGCAGTACAGCATGTTTTCTGAGCTTACCTGGGTCTTCACACATTCTAATTCATGTGTCAATTCCAGGTGTGGAAATGCTCCTCTGGACCACCTGCCTCTAAACAGAATAACCACCATGAGGAAAAGGTTCAGGTCAGTGCCCTTTCTGATGCATGTTTTGGGACTGTGTGGTCCATGGCTCAAATTCCCTAAGCGGAAGAGCAGCCCAGGCTGAAGAGAGGGCTCAGTGTAGAGAAGGACCATGAGGAACGTGCCTCCAGGTGGCAGCCACCGCCGTGAGATGGGGATGTGAGTGGAATTCACTTGAGACTTTCAGATCACATGGGAGAGGGAGAACAGGATGGTGAGAAGTTGGGATTCAAAATCCCAAAGGCAAACAAGGGAACCCAGTAGCTTAGATGCCAAAGGAGTTACTGAAGTCCTTGGCTCACACTGCAAAATGCAAACAGCGTGTTCACAGTGTCCTTTCTGCAGGAATGGCCTTGGCCCTGTGAAAGAAGGTGAAGCCCAATATGCCGTGGTCCACTGCACAGGATACATCAAGGCCTGGCCTCCCGCAGGTAAGCAGGGCTGCAAATGTATTTCCAGGGAATGGATACTGTTTAAGTCTGATCATGGAATCCTGTTATGTTATTTGTAGAAGAGGAGGCAGGAAAATATCCTTGTTTTCCTTTGTAGTTAGAACACAATGCTCTTTGCCATCAGAGAGCTAATGCTACAGAGGTGGTTGGAGCCTTAACAACCCATTTCAAAGTTCACATAGATCCCTCTGTAAAGTCGGAGTGACAATTTGAAATAATAGTTGTATCCAAGTCATCAGAGAAATGCAAATCAAAACTACCATGAGGTACCTCTTACTCGAATCACTAAAATAACAGACATGTAGTGTTGGTGGGGAGGTGGAGCAGTTGGAACCCTTGTATGTTGCTGGTGGGAATGTGAAATGGTGCAACCACTTGGAAAAAGTCTGCAGTTGCTCAAAATGTCAAATGTAGAGTTACCATACTACTCAACAATTTCACTTCTAGGTATCAATCTAATAAAAGAATTGAAAACCTGTGTTACAAGGAAATCTGTACACAAATGTTAGTAGCAGCCTTATTCCTAGTAGAAACAACTAGAACGTGCACCAAAGAATGCATGGGTAAATAAAATGTGATTTTCTCATATGGTGGAAGATTATTCAGTCATACAAAAATTAAGTACTGACACTTAGTATGATACTGATGACCTTTGAAAACATCATGTGAAGTGAAAGCAGCCAGACACAAAAGGTCAAGTATTATATGATCTCATTTACAGGTATGCTCAGAACAGGCAAATCCATCAAGACAGAAGGTAGGTTTGTAGTTTGCAGGTGCTGCAGGGAGGGAAGACAGAAATGACCAATAATGGGTTTGGGGGTAGTAACAGAAGTGTTCTAAAATTATACAGTGGTGACAGTTGCACAACTCTGTAAATATACTAAATTGTGTACTACAGTGTACACTTTAAGATGGTGAATATTATAGCTTGTGAATTATATCTCAAAAAGCTTTTATGGTAGGGATCAAATCCAGGGACTAGTTTCCCTCTGACCTCCACCCCCAGCCCACTGAACTTGTTCTTGAACAGGAAGATGTATACAGTGTCCACCCATCTGTATGCACTTTACAGCCCAGAATGTGGTATATCTCAGTGAATGATTTATGTCAGTGTGAGATCAGTAGACATTCTGCTTTTGTTGGATGGAATATTCTATACATGTCAATTGTAGCACATTGATTAATAGTGCTCTTAGAAGAGACTATATCCATATTGATGTTTTTCCTGTTTGATATATCAGTTACTCAAAGAGCAGTATGGAAGCCTTCAATTATACTAGTGTATTGGTCTGTTTCTCCTTGTAGTTCTATTGATTTTGGCCTTGCATATTTAGATATTCTGTGTTTGATATATGTGTGTTAGGGATTGTTATGTCTTCTTGGAGATTTGCTTCCTGCATGTAATGTCTGTCTTTATCTCTGATACCTTTTTTGCTCTGAATTCTGCTTTGCCTGAAATTAATATAACTTTTGAAGCTTTCTTTTGATTAGTATTGACCTGAGCCTTTATATTTAAAGTGGATTTTTCATAAACAACATAAGAATTGGGTCTAATTTTTTTGTCCACTCTGTCAGTGTCTTTTAATTGGTACATTTCAACCATTCACATTTAACATGATAATTTATATAGTTTGGTTAATAGCTACCGTGTTTTCTACTCATTGCTCATGTTCTTTGTTTCTTTCTCTTTTTCTGCCTATTCTTGTTTTCATTAAATATTTTATATGATTTTGTTTTCTTCTCTGTCTTAGCATATCAACAATATTTCTTTTTTTTGGTATCAGAGATCGAACTTGGGTCCTTGCACTTGTGAGGCAGGTGGTGGAACCACTGAGCTAAATCCCTGGCCCTCAACAATATTTCTTTTAAAATATTTTTTATTTCTTGTCCAAAGTTTCCAATACACATTTACAACTAATATAAATTCATTTTAAAATAATAATATATACTTCATAGGTAGCACAGGCACCTTATAACAAAGTATTTCTTCTTCTTCCTTCCCATCCTTTATAATATCACATTCATTTCACTTATCTACATACTGTCATTGCCCAATGCATTGCTACTATTATTATCCTAAACAGACAGGTGTTAAACAGGAATAACAAATATGAAAGATTTTATTTTACCTTTATTTTTTCCTTCTCTGATGTTCTTCCTTTCTTTATGTAGCAGTGAGTTTTTGATCTCTATCATTCTTTCTTCCTGAAGAACTTAGTTTACTATCTTTTGCAGGGCAGCTCTACTGGTGATGAATTCACTGTTTCTGTTTTTGTGGAGTCTTTGTTTATTCTTTCCATTTCAAAGATAATTTCATTGGATACAGAATTTTACATTGGCAGTTACCTTTTTTTTTTTCAAAATTGTAAATATTTTACTGTATCCTTGTTTGTCTGGTTCAAATGAGCAGTCCACATAATTTTCATCTACATTCTTCTGTAGGGATTGTGAGATATTTTTTCTGGCTTCTTTCAGAATTTTCTGTTTCTGTTTGGTTTTCTGCAGTTTGGATATAATATCTCTAAGTATAGAATTGTTTTGATACTGCTTCTCTAAGCCTCTTAGATCTGTGGTTTGATGTCTGTCATTAATTTTAGGAAATTATGAGACATTTCACCAAATAGTTCTTCTTCCCCATTCTAGCTATCTTCTCTGAATGTTTCAGTTACACATACATTTTGTACATATTATACTTTTAAAAATTATGCCATGGTTTTTGGGTATTTTTTTCTAGGTTTTTCCCCTTTACATTTTGGTATGGGGACTTCCAGTGTGACACATCTACAAGCTTGTGGATCCCTTCCTTGATTGGGTTCGCTCTTCATTCTTCATTCAGTGTTGATTTCTGCCACAGTGTTTTTGATTTCCAGCATTTCCTTTTGATAGTGGTGAGTTGGATCTCTGATATGAGGGCAAATTACCCAGGATGCCTCTCTGGCCAGCACAGGGACCTATCATGTACACAACTCCTGTGCCGAGAAGCTGAATGTTGCCTTGGCCAACGAGTAATAGTGTGGCCTCACTGTCCCCTAGGAGACTGTACCTGTGACCTGTGTGTGAGCCCTTTCCTCCATAGCATGGCTTATTCAGAAACAAAATAGTTTCTAGATACTGTTTAAAAATTTTTTAAAATGAGTTTTCTATATCCACAAATATGGTAAGCAGTTGTTAAATGCACAGCAGAATGACAGTAACATGAACACTCCAAAGTCCAAAACTTTTTATGTGTACACAGAAATTTATATATATATAAATACAAATATATTCATATATATCAGTTTAATGAATATACATGCACATTTAAATATTTTTTAATTTAAACTATTTTATGTTTATAAAAATAGCACTTATCTTTATAACAAAATGCCAAAGACCAAATAATTTATGAAGAAAAGAAATTTATTTCTCAGAGTTCTGGAGGCTGGAAAGTTCCAGGCCTAGGGGCTGCATCTGAGGAGGGCCTTCTTGCTGTGTCATAACATGGTGGAGGAATCACATGGCGAGAAAGCAGGAGCTCAGGTCCCCCTTCTTTTTCTTCTTATGCAGCCACTAGTCCTGTCATGGTGCCACCCTCATAACTTCATCTAAACATAACTACTTCCCAAAAGTCCCACCTCTGAATACCATGAGCACATGAGTTTGGAGACTTACATTTTCAACACACGAACTTTGGGAGACACATTCAGACCACGCCAACCATAAGACACAGAAGTGCCTGGGTGCCTTTGCCAAAGGCTGTGGATGTCCTTAAGGACAGAGACTCAAAAGGCAGTGACGCTTTTATGGTATTCAAAGACTGGACCTCAGTTCTGGAGATCCAGAAATAGTTTTGACAATGCTGTAGAACTGATGAGCCCCCAGAAGCGTGAAGAATTCTTAGAAGCTGGTATGATGTGGTAACTGGGTGCAATTCAGTAATGCCCCAGGCTCCTTGTCGGTGGCATAGATGCTCCAGTTGGATATCCAGGGAACCTGTCAGGTTTTGAAATACTCTAGAGACCCAGATTTGTCTCAGAAGGTTCTTTGATGAAAGGAAAATAACAGCAAAGGGTTGTGAACCCTTGCAGGGAGATTCCCCCGTGGCTTGGTTCTCTAAGCACACATGATGACCTGCCTTGTGGTAGTTGTTGAGCAGGCTCTGAGGACTGCAGGACACAGGGCTTCCTTAGATGGGTGAGGAGACCAGTGTGTGCACAGGTGACTACAGGGGGCGTGTGGTTGAGCAGTCAGCCTGACTTCTGGAAGGAAGCTCATCCTAATGTTGGGTCCTAATGCTGCTCATCATAATGCTGCCAAAATTTACCTCCCAGGACCTAGATCAAGGCAAATGTCTCTTCCTTTTTGAAGCTTTCTTCATTTGAATTAAACATTCTCATTATAACACACATATTCCTTTTCCTGTTTCAGCCTCAAAGTCATCTCTTCTTTACACTTTATTTGAGCTCCAGGCCTTTGACCTCACACAAGAAATGCCATGATCACGGTAAAATTCACTCTTCATGTTATGGGCGAGGAAGAGAGAGGAGGCCAAGGCCTGAGGTGCAGGCAGGAAGCTCTCCTAAGTTGCATGGATTGAGTGACAGCCAGCACTGGCATCTGCAGGAACAGTAGGACAGGTCATGGATTAAATCTTCAGCAATGGCCTTGAAACTTTGCCACATGAGAAATGTTTGCAGGACCTGGGAGTATTTAACTTCAAGAAAGTGAGACATGATTTCTGTCCTGAAGTATTTGAGGGGGTGTCATGTGAAGCAGAAAATAATCTCAGCGTAGTTCCAGAAGGCACAACTTGAACTAATGGGAGAAAGTTGCCAGAAGACAGATTTTAACTCAATAGAAGAACCTGAGCAAATGGTATATTAGGATGTTTTTAAAAATGTATGTATAGACACACTAAGCATATGGGGGAAAATTCAGTCTAACTGCTGAATAGAAATGCCAATTAAAACAATTTGATACCATCCCCTCTTACCTAA